ATGATTGATTGGTCAGAATTGTCCACTTGCATGAGTAATATCAAATGTCTCAATGAATCTCCATTCACCAAGTAGGTGGTGATTCACCTAACGTACGGATCTTAACACTCTAAGCTAAATAAGAAAAACAAAAGCTATTAGAGATGAAACAAAGAAAACATAATATGTAATGTTAATATAAAGGAGCAAGTAATAACCTTTTTATCGTGCTTGGTGAGATTAGATGTTGTGAATAAGGTTGTATTTATAGTGTTTTTAGTAGGTGTAGGGTTTTGGTATAGTGAATAGAGCAAATATATTATATCTTTGGAAATCTTTAAATCGTCATAGATAAAGAATATGCTACATAAATAATCAACCAAATAAGGATAAAATCGATTAGTTATGAGACATTTCCAAATCTTTTAGTTGGATTGAATATCGAATTTATATCGTTCATTTTATTTAGGAAACAAATGTGATTTGCAATAAACTCCTTAACACTTTAATAGGAAACCATTTGTACCGGAAAAGATTTGCTAGTTGAGAATAATCAATCCAATCTATGTCCATTTGTACATTTGCGATTGATATCTTCCCAAAATCAATCTATCAATTTTGTTTTTCCTTTTTTTTTGTAGGAATAATAAAGCCAAAATTGAAGATCTCATTGTAGGGATTATCAAATATGGAGAGTAATTCTCGGGATATAAATTAAGGTAAGATAATATGGTAAAATAATTCTGTTGAAACATGGATTTTTAAATATGGAATGTGGAATAATTGTCAAGAAAACTAACTTGTTAAGATATGTTGAAGATATGGACTTGAATATCATCGGCCATAATGGGAAGAAGCATAAATGGCAATGATAATTAAGATTTGATCACTATAGTCTATATCACGGTTTGGCAGTAGTAGTAGGATAAACTTATATACTCCGAAATTTTTGCTAATGTTTTAGGAAAGTCTCGTAAATATAGGTCTAACGTTTAATGTGGGTCATTTAGATATTGTTAGAATTTGGTAGATTAGGAATGTAACTAAGCGAATATTTAGTCGAATTACTTGATTTTTTTTTTGGAAAGTCTTATTTAAAAGGATCCGAGAGCTGTTATTGGTCAATGAGTCGGGTCAAAAAATCTAATCGGGTCAAAATCTCACTAAATACCCGACCCGATTGGCTTTGAGCAAATTTGTACTTCAAAAATGTTAAGTAGATTCCATGGAGAGAGATATATACACTACAACAATTTTATTTCGATTCTTTAAATTTTGTAACATGCAAAGATAAGAGTATTTTGCCTTGTACATAATTTCGTGAAAGAGTATAAGCATTTAAAGCACACATACCAAACAAAAAAAAAAAAGACATAAAAATGGAACAAATCTAATATACTGCGAGAAATAAATAAATAAAGACAAAGTTTCCAAAAGTCAAGAAAGCGAAACATCATCCCAGAACTCAACAAAGTGACATGCACCGAAACTTCCTTTACTGCTTCCACGTGTCATTATCGCATTCGTTATATGACATTTTCCCATCACCTTTTTTTAACATGTCATCCACTTCTCAGTTTTACCCCTGCATCTTTACAACTATTCCAAAGTTTCTAAAGGGCAAAATCGTACTTCACACTTCCCCTAAACGCGTAACGTATTTCCCATAAACTCTCTATAGAACCCCCAAAGACAAAACCAAATCAAAGTTCACAATCTTCTTCTTCACTTTACCAAAATCATCGAATCGATTTTTTAGGGTTTTTGTTTTCTCTCTGAATTTTTATTGTTATCTTCTTCTTGATACCTTGGAATCGCATCTCTGATTCGTATCTTTAAATCTTGGGTTCTTCTTCTTCTCACGATTCGTTAAAAAGCAGCATCAATGAATCAGAATCTTCAAGTATTATCAATGGATTCGTTACCAGTTGGATTAAGATTCCGTCCTACAGACGAGGAGCTAATCCGTTACTATCTCCGGAGGAAAATCAACGGCCACGATGACGATGTCAAAGCTATCCGTGAGATCGATATTTGTAAATGGGAACCTTGGGATTTACCTGGTACTTACTTCTTCTTCATCTCTTGATTCATAAATTTACAGACTTTGCAGCAGATTTTTACTGGGATTTAGAAATGCTATAACTTTAGTTTCTATGGTGAATAAAGTTAGCAACTTTAGAACTTTAAACAGATCTTATGTGTTTGATATAGATCACAAATATATCTCTGCTAATGTATAGTGTAAGTGACTGAAATTTGATTAAAAGATGTGATTTTTTTTGTTGTAGATTTTTCTGTGATCAAAACTAAAGACTCAGAGTGGCTCTTCTTCTGTCCATTGGATCGGAAGTATCCGAATGGAAGTAGACAGAACCGGGCAACAGTTGCAGGCTATTGGAAGGCGACTGGAAAAGACCGGAAGATAAAATCTGGTAAGACTAATATTATTGGTGTGAAGAGAACTCTGGTTTTCCACGCTGGTCGAGCTCCTAGGGGAACACGAACCAATTGGGTTATTCATGAGTATCGTGCTACGGAGGATGATCTTAGTGGCATCAATCCTGGCCAGGTAAATAATGCATACTTGTAGATGTGTAACCATTGGAAAACTAATTTGGTTATGTAGCTTATTATGTGCTTGTGTTGATATTTATATGCAGAGTCCGTTTGTCATATGTAAATTGTTCAAGAAACAAGAACTGAATTTAGCAGAAGAAGATTCGAAGTCGGATGAAGTTGAAGAACCTGCTGTCTCGTCTCCAACAGTTGAAGTGAGTAAGTCAGAAGTATCTGAGGTCACTAAAACCGAAGACGTGAAGCGTCTTGACGTTGCAGAATCTTCTCTTGTAATCTCTGGAGATTCTCATAGTGATGCTTGTGATGAGGCTACAACTGCCGAGGTGAGGATATTGAAAAATTCTCTTAGAATATTTTTTAGATAATTGTCTTTAGTGTCGGTTTGAAAACTAATGACGTTTATTTCGACATGCAGCTTGTAGATTTTGATTGGTATCCGGAATTGGAGTCCCTGGATTACACGCTGTTCTCTCCGTTACACTCTCAAGTCCAATCCGAGCTTGGATCATCTTACAACACATTCCAGCCTGGCTCGAGTAATTTTTCAGGGAACAACAACAACAGCTTCCAAATTCAGACTCAGTATGGTACAAATGAAGTAGATACATATATATCCGAGTTTCTTGATTCGATTCTTAAGAGCCCAGACGAGGATCCAGAGAAGCACAAGTATGTTTTGCAGAGTGGCTTTGATGGTGCAGCACCAGATCCGGTACCTGGAGTTTCGTCAGAACTCATTATATCATTTGTATGTACATTAAGAAAACATAAATCATAATTAACTCTAATTACTCTACTTGATTGCAGATTGCGCCAGCTTATCAGCAGAGCTCAGCAGTTGACATGAGCAATGGCGTTTCAGTAACGGGTATCAAGATTAAGAGTCGGGAGGCACAACCCTCAGGTTGTACCAATGATTGTATAGCGCAGGGAAATGGCCCAAGAAGGCTGCGTCTGCAAAGTAACCTTAATGGCATTAACTCGAAGAATCCAGAGCTTCAAGCTATCAAGAGAGAGGTGAGAATAACAACCACCTTCTCATGAATTACTCGATTTCTTTTAGTGGGATGTGGTTTCACGTAGCAAATTGAAATCAAATCGTGACACTAAATATGTTAATGCTACGCAGGCTGATGACACGGTTGGAGAAACTATAAAGAAAGGGTGTGGAAGGCTAAAGAGATCAAAGAATGTAACCGATTTCGTGTTTAAAAAGATTATGTCGGTGAAATGTTCATACGGAGGACTCTTTAGGGCGGCGGTAGTTGCAGTTGTGTTCTTGATGTCAGTCTGCAGTCTAACCGTAGATTTCAGAGCATCTGCAATGCCCTGAACACAAAACGTTTTGTAAATATAGTGCTTGAACCGGCTGGTGTTTTTGCTTCTGTTATTGGTTTCAGGCTTTCGCCAGTTTATAAGAGGTATTTGTTTTTACTTTTTACATGTAGTTAGGCTGCTTATGTAAACGTTATGACGAGAGAGAGGTTAAGACTCTACTTCTTTGACTTAATAGAATTCTTCTTACATGATTAAAGTTATGTTTTTTTTTTTTTTTTTTTGTCTATTAAGTAACATTTCAATTGGTATGTTCATTATGGCAATGACATAGCAAAGGTAATTAGAACAATTCTGTAAATAATTGGAAGACTACATATTGTACAACCCGAGAACAGTTGGCGAAGATAGAAACACTTTTAAAACGAGAACTGAAACCGGTGGCTTTTGTGCCGGAATATAACCGTGGATGTTAGCGGCCACAAAGAACGGTTGGATCAGTAAATTCAGAGCGTTTGTAATGTGTTGGAGCTAATTGCGTAACACCCTTTGGTTTGAGAGGACCGAGCAATGAAACCCTAGTCAAAAGCGGTTACAGAGACCAAAATAAAAGAGTCAGAAACGACTTTGAAGCAGAAGATGAGAAAGAAACTGGAGGCAGCAACAGCTGAGAGGAAGAGACATAGGGAAGAAGAAGAAGAGATAAAGTTGAAGGACGACAAAAGACAGCGGGTTGCAAAAACTCCGAGACAACAAAGAAAGGATGGTAAAAAGCTTGTAGCTTTTATAGGTCGAATACTACAATGCCCGAAAAAACTGTTCTAGGACCCTTGAAATGAGATCAAAAAGTAATGATCAGAGAGCTTCCAGAGATGATTCCAAGGTATGGAATTCTCATATCTCAATAACAAAACTAGATGCCCAAAACTTGACAAAACACGTTATGTAGATGAAATCCCGCGCTTAGCACAAGAAAGAAATCATAAGGGTTCAATCTTATATAATCATACACTCTGTTTGTTTGCTCTGGTCAAGATGCAGATATTATCCATGCTTAGGACATCAAATACCCGAAATCCTAAGTCATTGCATTCCCAATACAAGTCTAGCAAAAGAGGACTCAAGATTGCAGCAAGCAAAGGAATTCAGGCCATGTGTAAACTATGGAGCTTAAGTACTATATACTGCATACAGCCAATAAAGACTTCATGTATAAGGCAATCTTTAATTTGTACAAAGATTTCATCAGGTTGGAACTTTACTGGAAAAAGAGATCTTTAGTTGCATACTTATATGTCAACTCTTTCTTCAAACTAAAAGCAGCCTTGTTCAAAGCAAGAAACAAATAATAGTATTGAAGAAAATGGACTAATCTTGCAGTTGCACTAAACTTGGAACATATGAAGAGCACACAAGTTTGCCTTGTTTCCACTGGGAGTTCGAGATTACTCCAATGTTGACAGATTTGAAGTATCCATTATCTCCAATGATGCAAGCGATTTGGTAACAACCGGTCTCGGTCCCTTTAATATCAAAAAACACAGCTACTTTCTTCTCCTCATCAATGAAGAAGCTCATAGGGTCATAGAAAGTTGAAAAACCATTGATTAGTGACTTATCCACTGTCAAAAAAGTGCTCCACGATACGGCGTTGGGCTCAATCTTAGTCGAAATCCAAATCTCGTAAATCTCAGATGTGTCGTAGTGGCTATATAACACAGCGAGCTTATCATCTCTAGCCCAAGATAGAGTCAAATATTCAAAAATAGGAGAGGGATGGTTAAACGGCAGAGACAAACGCGGTCCAAATCTCTCTGTTGTAACATCAAAACAGAGTAAATAATCTTCAATCTCTGTTACCAACAAGTCTTCTTTCCCCACTTCTGCCTCTGTTGTTACCTCTCGAGCGAAAAAATATGAATTTCCCTTCAAAGACACGCCACTCTGATAAAACAGTTCATCCCAATCGGCATTAACATCAAGAACCCTCCATGAATCAGAACTAAAATCGTATACATCAATGACCCATCCTTGACCGGTTCTGTTTCTCTCGGCATCATAAAGAAACCTCAAGATTTTGTGGTTACGGTTGTTGTCGTATCCAAGAGCAAAGCTGTCAGCTCTGTGGAATGTGTTTCTGGGTCGAATCCATTTCGTTTGCCCCAGATACGGATTCCATACCATAAGACTCGAGTTATTTTTGGCGATGCATAACAATAAGCCATCGCAGTGATAGACTTGAGATATCTCGACTTGATCATCATTATTAGGTATACTTATCTGCTTCATAGATGAATCAACGTAGTCTTCTTCGTCGTCGTTACGGATTCCTTGGAGATCTAATCTCAAAGAACAAACCCTAGAATCTGTAACCATGAACTCCAGAAACTGATTCCTTGATGCTGATTTTTTACCAACGATGTGACTTTTCGATAAAGCATTCCACTTTTTACAAGTAGATCGCACTGCGCTTAGAGATGTAAATGGAACCCTAGAAAAGATCTCACCAACCAAATCATCTGATAGATCGGAAATTGTCGTCATTCTTCCCAAGTTTCCAACTTTCTCCAGAGATTTTGTATTCTTCTTCTGCTAGCTTGTGTTGTCAATCAATGTCGAACCCGTAATTGGATCTATTATTAAGGCTTCGTTACGTTTTGCTTAGGCCCATGTTAGTTTTAATGGGCCTGTTAGTTGAATAAAGTATCAATCAATAACTACACTCGAATAAAGCAAAGTGTCACTATTATTAGGCCTGAGCGTTTAATCCGAAACCGAAAATTCGAACAGGATCTGAACCAGAAAAATCGAACTAAAATCCGAATCGTATCCGACAGATTAACCGATCAGTTATTGATTACTATATCTATAGATATTGGATCGGATAATACCCGATCCGATCCGATATCCGAATCCGAATCCGATCCGATATCCGACGGATAATCCGAACTCTCTTCTAGAATTTTTAGAACCTTCACGGGATCCATTTTTCTTATCTTGATTTTTCTCCCTAGCAATATGTGATCCACTTCTCTAATCTCGATTTTCCTGCAATACGGGATCCACTTCTCTAGCATATAAGCATAAAACCCTAATCTTTCAATATAGAATCCTTGATCTCTCTTTCAATTATTAATTACCCTAGTCTCTAACCTAGTTATGGTTTCATGTTAGTTCAATTAGTCACTTTAGTTTTGTTTCGGATATTTCAGATAAACGGATTAGTTTTAGATTTTTGGTTAAATCGGATATTGAATATCATATCTGTGCCGATCCAAAATCCTAAATATCCAAACCGAAACCTATCCGAATTCTATAATTATCCGTATGGATATTAGAATCTATATCCAAAAAACCCGAACCGAATCCGATCCGATAACCAAACGTCCAGGCCTAACTATTATCATGTTATATAGCTTGTAGATTTTGATTGGTATCTAGAGTTTGAGTTTTTGGACTAGAAGGTTTTCTCTCCCTTACACTTTCAAGTTTCAAGTCCAATCTGAGCTTGAATTGTCTTTCAACGCATTTTAGTCTGGCTCGAAAGATATTGTAGGGAACGACAAACAACAGTTTACAAATTCAGTCTCAATACGGTACAAACGAAATAGATATATATTTATATCATAGTCGAAATTCTTGAGAATTTAGACGAGGTTCCACCAGAGAAGCATAAATATGTTTTGAAGTGGGTTAATAAGAATTTTTATCTTCCAGAGAATTAGAAGCACAAGCTAAAACAGATAAATCATAACCAACTTTAAATAAGTTTATTTGCAAATATTAAAAGTTTGTTAACTGCAAAACATACTTTTGCTTATCTAGAGGAACTTTGTAGTGAGAATCAAATCAATAAACTCGGAAATATGTATCTACTTCATTTGTACTCGTCCAGAGAAACCTTGTAACATTTCTACTAAGAGTTTTTATCCAAATCAACAAACTTTTAATATTTTATTTGTATTAAAAATTAAAAAAATTAATGGATGGTAATTTAAACTTGTGGGTTATATATGGATACAATTGAAAAGTTTTATGTAAATTAAAAGACATAATTAGCTCATGTATTTTCTTAACCACCGAAAATAATTTATTTATTTTTGTGAAAATATATAAAGAAATGGTGTACTTTTAGAGATATGGAACCTCCTTTTTGCTTATTATTTTCTTATTGTTTGCTTATTATTTTCTTATTTTTTTACTTGTTTTTTACCAGGGTTTTGAATACTGTTATTATTTACTCTACTACTTAGAGCCATGCCTAGAAATATGAAGGCCATAAGCGATATTAAAAACTTTGTCTTCTATTCATTTTCCAAAGACATAACTAGAGTAATATAAAAATATTAACTTTAAATCATAATTTTTCGAAAATTTGAATTAAGAATTTATCTAGAATTTCAAACCTATTTCAATCTATATATACAAACTGTGCATCGTTTGTAAGATTCTAAACATGTTTCATTCATTCTAAAAGAAAAATAAAATAATAGATGAAATAAACTACATAATGAAAAGGATACTTACCAATTGATTATGTTTATGTTTTCCATATTTTTAGTTTATTACTAATTTTGAAAACTTTTATTGACTCCTCATTAGAAGCTGACTTAAGTGTCTTTACTCCTATAAAAGATTTATTTAAAACCAAAAAAAAAAAGGCCATAAGCCAATGTTTCAAATTTATATGTATATAGGCACGGGTACTACTATTTTTTGCAGCATCTTACGACAAATAATGGCAGATGGTTTCAGCTATGGCGGTTTCTCCCGGTACAATTAAAAAGTTTGTATATTATAACGGAAAACATAATTAATTCATGTATTTTTTAAGCATCCAAAACTTATGTTAGATTAAAAATTGGTGTATTTTTATGAAATTTTCCTTTTCTTTTGGTTTATATTTTGGGACTTTTGCAAAAATGCCACTTTTTCAATGCCACTTTTCAAAAATACCTTTTTTAAAAAATCTTATAAAAAATGCTCTTAAAAATATAAGACTTACCCAAATATGTATGTAATATTATTAACACATACACAAACTATATTTCTATGTATCTAAAATCTTATAAATACTTTATAAATACCTTATAAATGCATTTTAAATATCTTTAAAAACCTTTAAAATATCTTGTAAAACCTTTGAAAAACCTTAAAAATCCTTTAAAATAACTTGTAAAACCTTTAAAAACACCTTATAAAACCTTATAAATACTTGGATCGAGTCTTCAAGTAGTAGTTACAATCCATAAGTACCTTATAAACCTAATAAAACTTTATAAAAATTTCAGATTTAAAAAGGGGTATTTTTGAAAATGGACATCTAAAAGGGGCATTTTTGAAAAGGGGCACACCAAAAGGGGTATTTTTAACAATTTCCCTTATATTTTTCTTATTGTTTGCTTATTATTTTCTTATTGTTTACTTGTTTTTTTTTTCCCAAGTGTTTAATGCTGTTACTATTTACTCTATTGCAATTTTTGCAACATCTTACCACCGTATATTGTTAACTAAACTCATAGATATATATAGATATATATATATATATATATAAATATAAATTTTATTATCAAAGACAAACATTTTAAACATATATCAAAGTTTAAGAGATTACAATATTATTGACATAAACTTTACCGAAAAGCAAAACACCAAAAGTGATCACTTAAAGAAAAAGTTTAGATTACTGAGAGTAAATTTCTAGTATCTATAAAATGCTAAAGCCTAACAACAATTATCACTTTTCAGGATAAAACAAGACACTCCTACAATAATAAGTAGCATAAGCTTATTTTTTCATTACATCCGATAACGGCTGTTAACTTGCGGGTTTGATTCCACCAATAATTTATATACAAAGTATTTTAAGATCACAAATGATTATATGAGGTATTTTTTTATCTAACCCAAAAATATTGGATATCAAAAGTCTAACTAAAAATTACTATGTTTAAAAAAAAGAAACTGTCTTCTCTCCCAAGCGTCTCCATCAACGATCGAAGATAACTTCTCAAATCTCATTTGTTTTGACCGGCGTCGGTCTCACCGGCGTCGGCCACCGTTGTTATCTCTATTATTTTCTTTCATTGATACTTGCAAAGTTCTAGTTTTATTGGTAAATCATGGCAAATCGAAGGTTTTCAATCCATGCTCCTTGCCACATTAAAATGGTGGTGATCAACGTTTTCGGTCCAACGCTCCCAGATCAGATTCTAATCTTGCTTTTGCTACAATTTCCGATTTGGCTGGCGAATCATTTCAACATGATTCCACCGATAGTTTTGACAGATTCATCTCATGGATGTCTCTCGTCCCGTGTTATGTCGACTCGCTCGAATCGTAATGTATCATCATATTTAGAGTTTGTTTCCGGTGGCATGTCTCACCGGTGTCATCTCCGGTTTTCAACCGATGAATTTTCTCTTGTCATATGGCTTGGAGAAGTCATTTGGGTATTTGATCCAGGAATCAATAGACAAACTTTCTCGATTGAAGGAATTGGCTGCTGCAACAACTTCCTCTTTCTAAGGACACGATCCGATGATGATGATGTTATCGTTGTCCCTCGATCGAATTATTCAGGTTTTATGAAAAAGGAAATCATGGTCACTAACCGGCAAGGATGGGTAGAGAGTTACAAAAGACATGATGCAGAATCATTTCAAACAACATATCAGCGTGTTCGTTTAATCATAGTGATTCGGAAAGCGTTTGGGAGTTTCATATATAAGATGATAGCCTTTTACGAGTATATGAAGAGGGGACTTGAAATCTGTTGCCTGTAAGGCTTCCGTTTGGAAAGCAGGGTTACTTCCACTTCTTCATCGAAATTGTGTTCAATTTCCTTTATTTGGTTCAATGGTTGTATTTGAATGATTTTATGTATCATGTATCATGTAACACATTTATGATATAATATAATTGATTTGCTGTTAAAAAAAAAAATTACTGTGTTTTCTTTTGTGATTTTTCCCCATTATTTAAGAAAAAATAACAATTTCTGCTTACTCAACTTATCCAATTCCAAACAAATTATCCGGATAGTTCTGGAAAACCGGCTCGAATGGAATGGGTATGATTCAAAATACAAAAGGCCCATATTTAAAAGCCCATTAAGAACACAAATAGCACGTGAGCAGCACAAGCACTTCTTCTCCGGTCTATTTTCTTCCCTATCACTAAAAGTCTTAAACAAAAGTTAGCAATACTTATAGTAAATTTCTAGTATCTATGAAATGCTAAAGCCTAACTGCAGTTTCACTTTTCAGGATAAAACAAGACTCCTACACGGCTACACCAATAAGGTTTTATACATAAGCTAATTTTGTTTTTTCTTTCTGTGATAAAAAAATGCTTATTACTAACTTTTTGTTGCATCAAACTATGGACCTTAAGTACTACTGTATATTGCATACAAGGGCAGGCCAATAAAGACTTCCTCTATAGACAAATCAATGATATATTCATCTTCAGTCTGAAACCAAGATTTCAAAATGCTAATTCAAACACTAAACTGGAAAAAGTGATCTTTAGTCATATATACACTCATACTTATATCAACTATTTCTTCAAACGAAAAGGATTCTTGTTCAAAAGAAAAGCTGATAA